TTTTATTCGTTTTCTTGTAATTTAGGGCTTTTCTCCCTTTTGAGCTTTTAGTTTCCGCCAATATTTAGTGTTTTTGTGACTATGTAATTCGATAATATATCTTTTTTTCCAATTTGAATAATAAAAAGATGATAAATAAAGCAGTTGTGGAAGCCCCTTTAGGACGTTATTATCGCTTTAGCGACCCCTTACACATAGGAAATTCGAATCGGCCCTCCTATGGCTGGAGAAGCATAATGGCTGCCAAACCTCTTCTTGTCTCGGGTCTCCGAAGAACCATAGGCTCCGGAATGCTAACTAAAGTGTGGGAGGACCCGTGGATTCCCACTATCCCGGCGAGAGCTGCTAAGAGTCTTCTTGATGTAAGAGACCTTCTTCTCTATGTCAACGACCTGATTGATCAATCAATAAAGCTTTGGAAGCTGGACCGCCTTCAAGCGTTGATTGACCCCACTGATATTCCACTTATTTTAGGAATACTGCCAAGTCGTACCTACTTAAGTGATGGCTATAGCTGGTCGCATACCAAATCCGGAAACTATTCTGTTAAATCAGGATACTGGGCCGCGAGAGAGTTATCTCGTCCTACCTGTGACCCCCCTTTTTAGGGACTTGGTGTTTCGGCACTTCAGGCACAGGTATGGAAGTTAAAAACTACGCGAAAGCTTATGCATTTCGCGTGGCAATGTGTTTAAGGCTGTTTAGCCACTTATCAAAAATTATGCTATCGTCATATTGGGAACGAGAAAGGATGTCCCCGTTGTGGGGCTCCGGAAGAATCCATAAACCATCTTCTCTTCGATTGTTCGCCTTCGAGGCAAATTTGGGCCTTATCACCCATTCCCACCTCAGGGCACATTTTCCCCAGAAGTTCCCTTTTCTATAATTTTGACTTTCTATTCTGGCGTGGGAAAGAATTCGGAATAGAAGAGGAAACTTTGGAACTCTTTCCATGGATATTGTGGTATATCTGGAAAAGTCGTAACAGATTTTGCTTTGAAAACTTCAAAGAACCTCCTCAGGAGAATCTTGCCTTGGCTTTACGGGAAGCCTCTGTGTGGAAGAAAGCAAACATGAAAGAAGCAGCAGATCCCGAATCTCTTGCCCGGTCGGTTCTACTTCCCGCGTCCTTCCCCAGGATCTCGGAATGTCAGATTGATGCTTCCTGGCACTCGGAGGACTCTCTAAGTGGACATGGTTGGGTTTTAGTCGACCAAGACCGTATTCTTCAGCTCGGCTTAATGAGCTCGAGAAGGAGCCTCTCACCGCTCCACGCGGAGATTGATTCTTTGCTCTGGGCAATGGAGTGTTTGATCTCGCTAGGCATTACCAATGGCGCCTTCGCATCTGATTGCTCGGACATGATATCTATCGTAGACAACCAAGACGCTTGGCCATCTTTCGCAGCAGAAATGGCCTCTTTCCGGTCACTCGTTTGTTTTTTTCCGTCTTTTAGCATTAGATTTGTTCCTCGAAGTTTTAATACTCGAGCAGATTGTTTAGCTAAAAAAGCTCGGGCTAGGAATAGTCTATTTTCCCATGTAAGTTCGTCGGTTCCTGATTGGCTATCCCTAGCGGAGAGTCTCTTTCCGATATCTTAATAGAAATGGTGTTTGAAGAAAAAAAAAAAGGAAGCCCCTTTAGCCCATTGGTTGACCAATGGTTAATTAATGCTTTTACACTAAGATGTCTGGGGTTCGAGGCCCAGATATTGCGATTCATTATCAAATTTGCAGGTTAATGGATGCAAGTGTGCAGGAGATCTCAAGCGATGTACAATTATAGCCGTGCGCCAGGATTCTACGCAGAGAAGGAAGTGTCGCCAGGTCGTGGATCATTGAAAGTATTCATCAAGATCATGAAGAAGGAAGTGTAGTCTGTCGTGAATCTACTAAGGGTCGGCAGAAATTGTTAGTTGTAGAATCGTCTACTTAACAGTTCTCATAATTTGCAATTAATAATGAATCTAGACGAAAGAAAAAAAAAATAAAGCATCCCAAATTAACATAACTGGTTTCAAAATTTTAGTCGATACGTTTTATATAAATATTTAAAAAACAGAATTTTTATTACAGTTAATCCAATGAAAAACAATAAGTTAAGTTATATTATTTATAATTTTGTTCACCAAAAAAAATATTATTTATAATTTTATGTATAAGTAATTAAGAATATCTAAATCAATGATACTCGAATTTTTTTTTTTATAATATTCATGAAATATTTAAAATGATAAATAGAATTAATATGTAGATTTAGCATGAGATGTAATTGTTTACGAGTTAAAAAAAAATGTTGCTTTTAAATTTTGAAGTTTTTTTGTTAAAGTTTTAAATTTTGCTTTCAATTCATATATATATATAAGTTTAAACTAATTTTAGATATTAGTGTTAACAGAATAACTCTAGAAACCATAAGCAACAACAGCTGATGAATGCTTATCCCTCACTATCTTCATCAGCTCCAGCTCTGCGCGAGAAATCGAACCCTAACCACTGCCAAATCCCTCCATGCCCACATCGTCAAACTCGGGATCGTTCAATGTTGCCCTTTGGCCAACACTCTTGTCAATGTCTATGGCAAATGCGGCGCTGCTTCTCATGCTCTCCAGTTGTTCGACGAAATGCCTCACAGAGACCACATCGCCTGGGCCTCGGTTCTCACAGCTCTTAATCAAGCGAATCTCTCTGGTAAGACTCTCTGGGTCTTTTCTTCAGTGGGTTCGAGCTCTGGGTTGCGTCCTGATGATTTTGTTTTCTCGGCTCTTGTTAAGGCTTGTGCTAACTTAGGATCTATTAAGCTCGGGAAGCAAGTTCATTGCCATTTTATAGTTTCTGAGTATTCCAATGATGATGTTGTTAAGTCTTCACTGGTTGATATGTATGCTAAATGTCGGTTGCTCGATTGTGCTAAAGCAGTTTTTGATTCTATAAGAGTGAAAAACACCATTTCATGGACTGCAATGGTATCTGGATATGCGAAAAGCGGAAGAAAGGAAGAAGCTTTGGAGCTTTTTAGGAGATTACCAGTCAAGAATTTGTATTCTTGGACTGCATTGATCTCTGGTTTTGTACAGAGTGGGAAAGGTCTTGAAGCTTTTTCTGTGTTCACTGAAATGAGGAGAGAAAGAGTTGACATTTTGGATCCCTTAGTTCTTTCGAGTATTGTTGGTGCTTGTGCTAATTTGGCAGCTTCAATAGCGGGGAGGCAGGTTCACGGGTTGGTTATAGCTCTAGGATTTGATTCTTGTGTGTTTATTAGTAATGCGCTTATCGATATGTATGCTAAATGCAGCGATGTTATAGCTGCAAAGGATATTTTCAGTAGAATGCGCCATAGAGATGTAGTTTCATGGACATCGCTTATAGTTGGAATGGCTCAGCACGGGCAGGCTGAGAAGGCATTGGCTTTGTATGATGAAATGGTTTCTCACGGTGTAAAGCCCAATGAGGTCACATTTGTTGGGTTGATATACGCGTGTAGCCATGTCGGTTTTGTAGCTAAAGGCCGTGAGCTTTTCCAATCAATGACCAAGGACTATGGAATTCGCCCGTCTTTGCAGCATTATACATGCTTATTGGATCTTCTTGGTCGGTCTGGACTCCTTGATGAGGCTGAGAACTTAATTCATACAATGCCGTTTCCTCCAGATGAACCAACATGGGCTGCTTTACTTAGTGCCTGTAAGCGCCAGGGACAAGGTCAGATGGGTGTAAGAATCGCTGATCATCTCGTAAGCAGCTTTAAACCGAAAGATCCATCGACTTATATACTTCTATCAAACATCTATGCAAGTGCTTCTTTGTGGGGAAAAGTATCGGAAGCAAGAAGGAAACTAGGAGACATGGAAGTTAGAAAAGATCCAGGGTACAGTAGTGTTGAGGTACGGAAAGAAACCGAAGTATTTTACGCAGGAGAAACATCTCATGCTCTAAAAGAAGACATCTTTCGATTGCTTAAGAAGCTAGAGGAAGAAATGAGGATAAGAAATGGTTATGTTCCTGATACTAGTTGGATCCTACACGACATGGATGAGCAAGAGAAAGAAAAGCTTTTGTTTTGGCATAGCGAACGATCCGCTGTTGCATACGGATTGCTTAAAGCTGTTCCGGGAACTCCAATACGAATTGTGAAAAATCTAAGGGTTTGTGGAGATTGTCATGTTGTTCTGAAACATATAAGTGAAATTACAGAAAGAGAGATTATAGTTCGAGATGCGACTAGATATCATCATTTTAAGGGAGGAAAATGTTCCTGCAATGACTTCTGGTAAGCTTCTTCTCTGTTGTAACATTTTGTCTTCGAAAATTGCTGAGATTTTTACTATTACGTAATAGTATAGTAACTACGGTCACGCAAAATCGATTTCTATCCTCAGTAAAGAAACAATAAAGTGGGTGAGTTCAATTCATAGGCGTTATAGATAACAACAAAAGAGTCACTGTGTTTAATCGCACTCACTCACTCACCAACTCACGGATTTAGTAACGTGTTTCTTTATTCAAATTTCACTTACCAACTCACGACTATAATAACAACAACACGCGCATGGACTTATGCTAATAAATGAATAATAGAATAATGAAAATGTTTGAGTTAAACAATTTTTCAAGATTAGTCTTCTCATCTTATTTTCTAATTATATCTTTAGCATGCTACTACTACGGATAATATAGTGGAATTACGTTTTGAAAACAAGAAAATTTTAGAAATACTATAAAATATAAAAGTAGCGAAATTGAAAAAAAGTTGAATACAACTTGCAGAAAACCGTATACTTTGATTACAACTTCCAAAAAAATTTGCAGAAATCTGTTTAAATTCCTTAATGTACAACTAAATCCTCTTAGCAAAAGTAGAAATGTAGAATTATTAAACGAATATTGTTTCTTGTCACATGCTTCGTATAGAGACATATAAATAGAAACATATATGTAGATAACAACGACACAAGTCACAATCGGGCTTACTCACGTATACCCTATAAGTTTCCAACTCATATATATCACAAGTGTGCTTCCGTTTGATATTTACTCAGAGACGTGTAGCTTCACTACTTCCACATACTGAGAGTGAGAGAGAAATGGCGACGGAAACCGTATTGGCCACGGCGGTGAGCAACGGCAGAAGCAAAGGATGTTGCAAGTCCGGTCCAGGTTACGCGACGCCTCTAGCCGCCATGGCTGGTCCACGGGAAAAGCTCATCTATCTCACCGCCCTCTACTCCGGTACACTTTTTATTTTAACATCTTCTACTTTTTATTTTTGGAATGAATTTTTTTCTTTTTCTTTTTCTGACTAACCAAGAAATTATATCAGTTTATTATATGAATCTCATGAATGTTGGAAAATTTTGATTTCTCTAGGTAATCTAAGACCTTTTGGTTTGTTTGATTGGGTTAATTTAGGAACGGGGCGAGACAAACCGGACTACTTGGCGACGGTGGATGTGGATCCTAACTCACCCACATATTCAAGTGTCATCCACAGGTTGAAAATGCCTTATATAGGTGATGAGCTACACCACACTGGTTGGAACTCTTGCAGTTCTTGCCATGGTGAGGCTTCTGCTGATAGACGTTACCTCGTCTTACCAGGCTTAATGTAAGATCCTTACATTGATCCTCTCACATCTCTTGATGATAAATGACTAACAATATGTTTTGTTTCTTGTTTGAATGAAGCTCTGGTCGCATTTATGCAATCGACACAAAGACCGACCCAAAGGCTCCATCTTTGTACAAGGTTGTAGAGCCTGAAGAGATTGCTAAAAAAACAGGATTAGCATTTCCACATACATCTCATTGCCTCGCCTCGGGTGATATGTTGGTGTCTTGCCTTGGGGACAAAGAAGGAAACGCCAAAGGGAACGGGTTTCTCCTTCTTGACTCTGACTTCAATGTCAAAAGCAGGTGGGACAAACCAGGACATGGTCCTTTGTTTGGGTATGATTTTTGGTACCAACCTCGGTTCAAGACAATGATCAGCACTTCTTGGGGTGCACCTAAAGCCTTCTCCAAAGGTTTCAATCTCCAGCACGTTGCGGATGGCTTGTACGGAAGTCATTTACATATTTATAAATGGCCTGAAGGTGAAATGAAGCAGATTATTGACCTCGGAAATACCGGTCTCTTACCTCTTGAGGTAACATTACTCCAACATAAATCATGATGATCTGTTTTAGTAACCAAGAATGTAATCTAATCTGGTTGTTTTTATGTGGTGGTTGCAGATTAGATTCTTGCATGATCCTTCTAAAGATACAGGGTATGTCGGGAGTGCCTTGTCGAGTAATATGATAAGGTTTTTCAAGAACAGTGATGACACATGGAGCCATGAGGCAAGTGAAATTTCTGAATCTTCTTCTTTTTTTCTTCTCTCAAATTTATGATTAACATGTGATTCAAACTGGTGTTGTTTTAGGTGGTTATATCGGTTAAACCTCTGAAAGTTGAAAACTGGATTCTTCCAGAAATGCCGGGGCTTATCACCGACTTCTTGATCTCACTCGATGATCGGTTTTTCTACTTTGTGAACTGGCTTCATGGAGACATCCGTCAGTACAACATCGAAGACCCTAAAAACCCGGTCTTAACGGGACAAATTTGGGTCGGAGGATTACTACAAAAGGGCAGTCCTTACAAGGCTGTTGGAGAAGATGGCAACACTTACCAATTTGACGTTCCGCAGATCAAGGTTTGTACCAAAATGTAATCTTTTAAGGGTTTCAACTATGTTTAAACAATTTGCATTCTATTGAAACTGATTTCTGATTTCAGGGGAAGTCTCTACGAGCAGGACCTCAGATGATCCAACTAAGCCTCGACGGGAAAAGATTGTACGCGACAAACTCGCTATTTAGCGCATGGGACCGTCAGTTTTACCCGGAACTCATGGATAAAGGCTCACACATAATTCAAATCGATGTTGACACAGACAAAGGTGGTCTCACCATAAACCCTGACTTCTTTGTGGACTTTGGTGATGAACCAGACGGTCCTGCACTAGCCCACGAGATGAGATATCCCGGTGGAGACTGCACTTCCGATATCTGGATCTGAATTTGGCTCCTTAAAAGAGTAAGCTGGATATGTGATTCATTCTTATGTCTTTGTAGAGTGTAATAAATAAGAAGTGGCTAGTTTCGTGATCCAGACAATAATAAAAGTTGTTCTCCTCCTTCCATACAATAAATCTTTCTACTTGTACATGTTATCTCTGTCTTTTGTGTAACCGAATTGAACCGATCACAACCAGGTCCAAGTATGGACCAAGTAAAAACTACGTCAGATACAATGTATCTGGTCAAGATCTGATTTGTTATTGTTATCTTCTTGTTGTTATTTTGTTAACGGATACGATTCTGTAATTGTTTATTTTAGCCATTTTGTGCATGGAGACGTATTTTAATTTAAAATACATCTCTCTTAACTTACTAATTGTTGCAGTAATCTGAATTAGTAATTTAATATTTTTTTCTTAAACAAAGCCGTACATAATTACAAGGATTAGTTGAGTCATTATATAAGTTCACTGGCATTATATAGTTGAGTCATTATATAAGTTCACTGGCATAATTACAATTCAATATTTGTCTTCACAAAGAGAGAGAGATGGCGACGGAAACGGAAGTGGTGGTTGCTCCGGTAAGCAACGGTGGAAGCAAAGGATGTTGCAAGTACGGTGGTCCTGGTTACGCGACGCCTCTAGCCGCTATGTCTGGTCCGAGTGAGAAACTTATCTACGTCACCGCCGTCTACACCGGTACACATTTGATTTGATTCTATCTGTTTCTTGTTATCAATCTCAGAATCCAGATCGAATGTTTTTAAGTAAGAATCTTTACTTTTAAGAATCTTGAATATTCCAGATCGAATCACTAAGAGCTTGAGAGATTTCTCTGTTTCTATTTTCTTGATTTGATCTGTTTATCAAGGAGTCTTTGTGTTTTTAGTGAAAATCTTTGTGTTGATTGTGTTCTCTGTATTCTGATACCTTTTTGATTGGGGTTTTGAAGGAACTGGAATAGATAAACCGGACTATCTGGCGACGGTGGATGTGGATCCGAGCTCGCCTTCGTATTCAAGGGTTATTCATAGATTGCCAATGCCTTTTGTTGGTGATGAGCTTCATCATTCTGGTTGGAACTCTTGTAGTTCTTGCCATGGTGATGCTTCTGCTGATAGACGTTATCTTGTGTTACCGTCTCTTATGTAAAGATTCTTCAGCCTTTTTCCATTTTCTCTTATATCTCTGTTAAGTTTTGTTTAATTGACTGAATTTTCTTGTTTGGATGAAGATCTGGTCGTATTTATGCGATTGATACTAAGGAAAACCCGAGGGCTCCGTCTTTGTATAAGTATGTTGATCCTAAAGAGATTGCTGATAAGACTGGATTGGCGTTTCCACATACGGCTCATTGCCTTGCTACGGGTGAGATCTTGGTGTCGTGTCTTGGGGACGAAGAGGGGAACGCCAAGGGGAATGGGTTTCTTCTTCTTGACTCTGATTTTAACATCAAGAATAGGTATCTTATTGCATAACAAATCATTCTGTTTTAGTTTCTTATCACTATTAGTCCTATACCATTGTTGGTGATTGTTACTCTAAAAGTTAAACAAAAACTGTGAAGTTTATCACAAGAAAGGATAGGATATCGCCAATGCGATGACTTGTGATGAAATGTCGTGTGTTCTTGTGCATTTAAATGGAATTGATGTGTATGTGTTTTGGGGGATGTTTCAGGTGGGAAAAACCAGGACATAGTCCTTTGTTTGGGTATGATTTTTGGTACCAACCTCGGCACAAGACCATGATCAGCACATCTTGGGGAGCACCTAAAGCCTTCTCCAAAGGTTTCAATCTCCAACACGTTGCGGATGGCTTATATGGAAGTCATCTACATGTTTATAGTTGGCCAGGAGGTGAAATGAAACAATTAATTGACCTTGGACCGACTGGTCTCTTACCTTTGGAGGTAACATAATAAAACATCTCTTTTAATATGTGATCTGTATATTTCATCAGGTAATATAAATGAAAGGAATGAACCGGTTGTTGTCTTAACTTCTATGTGCTTGCAGATTAGATTCTTGCACGAGCCGTCTAAAGATACAGGGTTTGTTGGGAGTGCCTTGTCAAGTAATATGATAAGATTTTTCAAGAACAGTGATGAAACATGGAACCATGAGGCAAGTGGAATTTCTGAATCTTCCTTCTCCTTTCCCTTTTTTTGTTTGCTATTCCAAATCTGTGATTAACCTGTAATTCGAACTGGTGTTTTTAGGTGGTTGTATCAGTTAAACCGCTGAAAGTAGAAAACTGGATTCTTCCAGAAATGCCGGGGCTTATCACCGACTTCTTGATCTCCCTCGATGACCGATTCATCTACTTTGTGAACTGGCTCCATGGAGACGTTCGTCAGTACAACATTGAGGACCCTAAAAACCCTATCTTAACAGGACAAATTTGGGTCGGAGGATTACTACAAAAGGGCAGTCCTGTTAAGGCGGTTGGAGAAGACGGCAACACTTTCCAATTCGATGTTCCTCAGATCAAGGTTTGTACCAAAATGTAATCTTTTGAGGATTCAATTAAGTTTCACATTTTTTTTCCATACTCTAGAAGCTGTTTTGGTGATGTCAGGGTAACTCTCTACGAGGAGGACCTCAAATGATCCAGCTGAGCCTTGATGGGAAACGATTGTATGCAACAAACTCGCTGTTTAGCGCATGGGATCTTCAGTTTTACCCGGAAATCATGGAGAAAGGCTCACACATAATTCAGATTGATGTTGATACAGACAAAGGTGGTCTCACCATAAACCCCGACTTCTTTGTGGACTTTGGTGATGAACCGGACGGTCCTGCACTAGCCCACGAGATGAGATATCCCGGTGGAGACTGCACTTCCGATATCTGGATTTGAATTTGGCCTGTCTGTTTAAAAAGGAAGTTATGTGTTAAGTTTAAAATGAGTTTTATTTGTTGTTGTGTGTTTTGTAGTGTTGAATAAAAATTAGATGACCCAGCACTTGTTTGTACACTTAGACTCCTTGTCTCTTATATGCTTTGTTATAAATTGAGTTGTTTATGTGGTAAGTTTAAATAGAGTTTTATTAGTTGTTGTGTGTTTAGTAAAGTTGAATAAAAAGGGAGTAAGAAGAGGTCAAGACAACTTGTTTGACTGCCTGTGTGTTGTATTATGTAATACAACTTTCTACATTTCGACTTAACACTCGGTTCCGTTTCTTTTTTTTTTCACCACTCTGTTCGGTTCTTGTTGTTCACGTTTCAGTGTCAGTGTGTCACTGATTGCTCGAGTAATTAACTCAATACACTTAACCGTTAGGCAGTATATTCGAGGTCGATCCACAAAGACCAAAGATACTATCTAAGGATTTCCGAGACTCATTCTTAGCTAAAACTAAAGAGGTTGTTTGTTTGGTTTTCAGATTGTAAAATAAAAATACAAATAAATTAAACGATTTAACTTCTAGATTTAAAGACATTGGGCCATAGGGTATTTCAGAGATCAATGAATAATGGAAACAGGAGACAAAGAATTCAACAATTAAGTACCGTTCTTGAACATGAACATGTTTAGACTAATTCTCTTTCAAGACATTAATCACTAAATTTGACTAGTCTACTAAACTTTCGCTTGTAATTTCTTAGTCAAATTCGCATTACCAAGCAAGTTCATTAAGTTTACAATGCGTCCTAACGTCAAATTTCATTGGCTAAGCATACATTGCTCATCTCGTGGGCTAGTGCAGGACCGTCCGGATCCAAAGTTGCTGAATCGGGATTCTTGACGTCACGATTGGGATCGATCGATCCACGCCTTGGATCGATCGATCCCCAGCTCCTGGTGGTCTCTATTCTTTTTCTGGATCAGTTTTAGCTCTGAATAGGCCCAATTACACACGAAATGCTCCAAATCCCGCTCGAGCACCTATGACCTACAAAAGATTCAAGACAAGACCAAAAAGACGCAAAAGACAGACAACGACGACGCGACAAATGACTCAAAACGCAGATTAAACAAAGACTCGAAACCGTCAAAAACGCAACACATCAGTCATCGGAGAGCCGATTCTAATAATATGTTGGCCCCAAGCAAAGAAAATGTTTAGCCCATAAGTCCATAACTATTGATTGCTGGAAAAAAAGAGATGGCAAGACATTTGAAAGTTAGATAGTAGTAAGAAATGGTGTACCGTTATCACCTTTTTATAACACCGTCTACATATGGCTTCACTTAATGGTTTACACATTAAACTACGGTGATACAACTTAACCAATCAAACCCACATGTTGTACTAGGGCGATACAACGTTACCAATCAAAACCATAATTTTTTTCGAATTTAGCAAAAGATACTTTTGGTAATATTAGTGGGCTTAAAATATATAGAAACATTTGAAGCTCCAAGTGTATCCTTCTTCGGCTTAGGTGGCTCACAAGTCACTCCTGGTTATGGGTTCTTTTAAAAATATTATTGGTTGTGGCAATGATGAATCTGAAATTCTGATGTCCATTGATCATATGACAACAGTATGGGTATAAAAGAATATGATGGAAGAAAAATAAAAGCAATCACAGAAGAAGGAAACCAAGAGTTCAACGACAAATAATCATAATCTCTAGTAATTGGTTAAATTTGTAACTCTAGTTTTTTTTGCTATAAATTTTAGTTTTATATTTTTGTTGTTGTTGATGTACAATTTTTGTTGTCATTTTTTTAGAAATAAAAGTTTGATTGGTTATATTTATATTAAAAATGAAAAATAAAATTTTCCACAATTTTCATTTTATTTTTAATTGTTATAAGTATATGAATTATTTGTCACACAAAATTAGTAAAACGTTCAACACATCATAAGAACCCACATGTTTAAGCATCTGTCTTTTATTTTGTTATTTTAGTTCCTTATTATACTTTCACCAGCTGTGTAACATGGGCCGTTGCTTAAGACATCAGCTAAGTAAGCGCAAAAGGCGGCTAATTCTTAGAATCGTAAGTCATCGTCTCACTTCATATATATTTTGGAATACGATTCTTAGAGATAATGATATCTTCGCATCATCAAAACAATCCGAATTTGCCAAAGTATTATTCAATTCCGACTTTGTATATTTTACAAAGTGTTATTTTACATTTTTTTTCAATTATATTATATTATTCTTGAAAGTCACATACGGTACTACTTATTTAATTATTTTCTTTGCTCGAATACACTTTTCGGAAAGGAGAAAGATTAATATATTGTTTTCTATATAATGAACTATCCTTCTACTACGAAAGTAAAAAAGATTCGCTTAAGCATTACAAGTTACAAACACAAATTAATCTTCCCCTATAAATAATGATGTAGCCCCTAGCATGCAATAAACATATAACTCAAAGCATAAGAAACATCAAGCATGGAGTACTACACATTTACCGAAAACGACGAAGAACGTGTATCGCGAAATCATCACGTGAAGAACACGTGGGTGAAAGAACGTTACGAGAGTGATGAAGAAGATGGAGAGGTGAACAAACTTATCCTAAAGGAAGATGAAGAAACTAAAGATATGGTGACATCACCGAGTGGTGAGAGGATGATGTCGACAAGTAAGGTGAGGTATCTCAACTATGGAGCTCTCAAACATGACACGGCGGCTCCGGCAGCTTCCGGTAGTGGAGGAAGAGCTTTGCCTCTTCCATCGAACAGGTACCACCGTGGTCACCCCAAGTACTACAGATGCAGAGGTTGAAGTGAAAACTCTCCGCTGATAAAATAATTTCGAACTAATTAATAATAACCCTATATTGTATAAATAAGTTTGGTGAGTATGTATACTCCATGCAACGTGTGTTATCTATGTGCTTGTAATTCCCCTTTTTATATCTAAGACTAAGAGAAAGAACAAATTATGGAACTGATCCATGATCATCGAGTTTTGTTTTTTTTAGTAATTTGGTCAGTTGGTCTGATTTTTCAGATTAATTATTGTTGTACCGACATGACATAAGTTATATTGGCTCCGAATCCGATTAATAATATGTCACAAAATTTCGAAAACATTAAAATTTTTGTGAAAGTTTACAAATCTTAATTTTATAGAAAACCATGATCTATGTTCTTACTAAATTATTTGTTCTAGTTATCTGGTCACTTGATCCGAATTTGAGATTAACAACTACGGTATCAATAGAAATCTAAGTTATGCATTGGCATTAGTAGACATGTCAATTAGGCCAAAGCTCGCAGATTGGCCCGATCCAACCCTGAAAAACAATAGGTCCGAGCTTAAAAATATATATCTTGGAAAAATCTTGACTCGGCCAAGCTTTTTAATGTGCATTTAACATGTTATTGGAAAGATTTTAAACTCGGGTTCACTCAAATCTCGAAATAGTGAACGCGAATTATTTATTTTTAATCAAAATTACAGAAATTAATTAAATTTGGTTAATTGGGTAGAATTTTATAGTTTGGTTGGAATTAGGAAGAAAAAAGAAAAGTTCATGGTAAATTGTGTAGATGTCAAAAGTACATGATAATTCTAGTTGAACAGATATCGTATACAATAAAACCTCTATAAATTATTAATGTTGGGACCGAGAAATTCTATTAATTTATAGAGGTATTAATTTATCGATAAATTAATAATTATTAATTTATAGGGAGATTTTACTAATTTTATAATTTTTTAAAAAATTTCTATCTGAAAAACAGTTTTTTCTTTATAAACAATATCTTTTTAAACCAATTACAAGTAGAAAAAAAAGTTATTAATTTTAGAAAACAACATAAAATTTTTTCGATCAAGTAAAAATATTAGAAATGAACTCTACCAAAAATTAATACAAATTTAAGAAAAACAAACAAATAACAGAGTCATATTTCATTAAATTTTTTACATATAATCATATATCATAGTAATTCATATATGACATATAAAAATTAATATCATATATTAAGTTATAATATATAGAGAAATTGTTAAAAATGCCTCTTTTTCAATACCCCTTTTAAAAAATGCCCCCTTTGAGAGTCTATTTTTAAGTTTGCCCTCTTTTAATTTTTAATGACCATTTTACCCTTATTTGAAACAAAATTAGGTCCACAAAATACAAAATATTTTTTGGCGGGAAAAGTGATCCCGCAAATTTTTGGCGGGAAACGTGATCCCGCAAATTTTTTTGGCGGGAAAATTTTTGGCGGGAAAAATTTACAAGGTATTTTAAAGGTTTTACATAGTATTTACGAGTGTTTTGTAAGGTTTTACAATGTATTTTAAAAGGTTTTACAAGGTACTTATAACTTATAAGGTTTTATAAGGTATTTATAACTTGTAAAACCTTATAAAAAACTTGTAAAACCTTATAACTTGTAAAACTTTATAAAATAGCTTGTAAAATCTTATAATATCTTATAAATACCTTATAAATACGTTGTAAAACTTTTTGAAATACATTGTAAAACCTTATAAATACCCTGTAAAAAACTTTTAAAATAACTTGTAAATTTTTCCCGCCAAAAATTTAACGCCAAAAAAAATTGCGGAATAACTTTTCCCTCAAAAAAGTTTTTTTGGCGGAAAAAATTTTTACGCGAAAATTTTACAAGGTATTTTAAAGGTTTTACAAGTTTTTACAAAATCAAATTTGTAATTTTGATGTGTGCACATTCTCATATTTTCCTTATATATTTGTGATATCTTTTATTAAAAGAAGGGTAATTTAGTCATTTTGTACATAAAAAGGGGTATTTTAAAAATGGACAGCCAAATGGGGCATTTTTTAAAAGGGGTATTGAAAAAAGAGCATTTTTGTGAGTCTCCCTAATATATATATTGATAAGTGTATACATTTATTAATTTATGAAATTGATGGGACCATATGTTTACATAGGATTTTCAAAAAAAACTATTATCTTATTAATTTATCGATTTATGTCATTTTTTATACTTGTCCCAACTCGAAACCGGAAGAATTTATTAATTTATAGAGGTTACTAATTTATCGAGTATTAATTTATAGAGATTTTACTGTATGTGGATTGCTATAGACAGCCCTTAATTAAAATACGAAAGAGATACCTTAAAATATAACATACAAAAGGAAAATCGTACAAAGTTCCAAATAAGGGAGATGGATGAGAGAATGGTTTAGAGAGGGATTGAATGTGAGAGAATGTGAGAATGGGAGAACGGGAGAATGAAGGTGTGTGTACAAATGAGACTCCTTTATATAGGAGTTTTACAAGTAAGTGAAATAACATAATTTTTAAAAATATATAAAATGTGCATAACTCCACTCAAGAGTGTTGACTCCATTAAGTTCACTAGCAAAAGTTTGTCTCCACCAAAGTTATTTGGTCTTCATAGCACTCGTTGTGTTTATTGTCATGTATCGTGACAATAAAGACAAAAGATTGTCGACAGAGATTCGTAACACAGGATTTGTACTCAAAATATTTATAACAATGTTTGTTGAGATGTGTCTTCGTCTTCATCTTGAAAATATATGTAACAGCATTTGTCGGTAGATTTGTATTATAATTTCCAAAAATTTCGTCATCAATCTCTTGGGTGTTAGAGTATGGCTCGCTTTCCGAAGCTAGAGAATTTTCGTCTGTTATCGAAGGCATGAACCCTGAGGAGATCGCGTTAATTTCTTCCTCGAATTTTACAGCCGCTAATAATGACAACATTTTGGATTTTTGGGCCAAACATTTGGTTGTTTATGGTGTTTAGTTTGGTGTTTGGGTCAAGATTTGGGTAATTTAGAATTTTTATCCAGTCACGTATATATAAGTTTTGAAGGAAAAAAAAAAAGGAATTTTGAATTTGTCCCACCATTTAACGCTGAACCTACCTAATTATAGGAATCGAGTTAGAAGGAAATTCTTTTTTTTTTTTTTTTTTTGTCAAAAGAAGGAAATTCTATTAATTTTCCAAGAGAAAACCCAAGGAAAGTGAAATTTGGAATGAAAAAAAAAAGAACGGTAGAAATTTCTTTTCATCCTCAGATGGTATGAAAGTGTTTTTAAAGATTTTGAAAGATTTTTGTATTTGTGGTTTGAAAATTTATGTGATGGAACCGAAATAATTTCACCATGGGATGAACTAGTAGGGAGATTTTGAAAGGTCACATGTTGTGTCAAAAAATATTAACCAGGTATGTTTATGCTTAGGAGATTGGATCAGAAATGTATTATACCATGCTTGACAGTTGTCCCAATGAAATGGGGCATCGTAACAAGCGAGATCTTTGAGATTTTTAGGAAAATTTAAATTTACATTAAGATCGTCTTCCCAATCACTTGGTGCAATAATCTTTTTTTTTTTTGTTAAAAGTTGGTGCAATAATCTTATGTATTTTGAAAGTGGAATATGTGGGATCGGTATGTTTTTCATCGAGAAAGTAATGTTTGAATGTTACTGAACCCGTTATATCTAGGATTATTTGAAAAAATAAAACTGTTTTTTTTTAATTATGAGGTTTGAAAAATACATTTTTCCGAAAAACTTTTCAAGTGTTAAATACGGATCATTATGAATCAAAAATTCTTTTCCAATGTTTATAATGAAAAACTATTATGGCTTTGAAGGAGTTTTCCAACTATCTATATATACATTTTTGGATGACTTTTAGCAAATAAATCCTGGAGTTGGAATGTATTTACGGATGAATGCCATTGACATTAATTGTTTAGATTTGTTTAATTTGAATAAAGATTTTTAATTTTATTTCGTTACTCAAATTGTTACCAAAAATCTCGCCAAAATATTTTCTAATATCTCGACAAATATCTCAAACATATAAAACAGCATTCAATTATTTTCAGTAATAGAAACAATGTCTTAACTCCATATACGATTTATACTAATGGCAAACACTAATTTCTCTACTAATTAAAACAATCATTAGCGAATCGGGTCAATATATCGATTCTCGGTTAACTGAAATGAGAAACAAATTAATGGCATATTCTCCAAATTAATGATAAACTAACGTTACCTAAACCAAATCATCATCAATCTTTTAGAGATAAAGTTTGTTATCTCCTAATTTCCTAATCTTCCCTTAATTATTACAATCATTCATTGTGATAACCATTTTTTTTATTCGTATCTTTGATATTCTCATATCACCTAAACCATAAACCTAGACTTCTACCTTCTCAATAAATACCAATCTTTACTCCACTACTAGATTCATCAAGCAAATATTTTTCTAATCTCATTCCAAACTATACTCGCCTCTAGCAAAAATAGCACATACATCCTTCAAGGTATATTCATAAGGTAATCTTTGTTCTTAATTCAAATTTAATTTTTATGTTTGAGATTCTGTTTTTTTTTGTAATCACATAACTGCATTAACGTGAGTATATCTTAATCTTTCTTATAATCTGCAATGTTTTTTCTTTTCTCATAATATTTTTTTCATTTTTGTAGAAGGGACAAATCCTTCAGATGGAAAATAAAACAATGACTTTCTGCAAATTGTCGTCTGCAAATTGTCGTCTTCAACGGTGACTACACCGTCGTCTACTGCGGCAACTGTTACAACTCCGTCTGAGTCAAGAAGACGTGACGACTCGCTTCTTCAACAATAACATAGTATTCAAAGCGCCATTTTACATCAACAATTTGTTTTTAACATTATTTTCCAAATTTTTTTAATTAAAATTTTGTTTTACAATGAATATTTTTAGGTAAAGATCCGTTGTGTAACCAACATCGTTGAGTGACTTTTCTCTTACGAGAAATGAGATAATATTAAATTTTGTTTGTTTTATTACTTATTAGTTTCAAGAGAATCTCAATGGTTTTGATTTTCTCCCATTAACAACTTTGTAACAATTACGGGTTTTTGTACATATATTTGTAGCTTATTTTTGTCAGAATTGTAGCAGTAAGAGTCGTGGATTTTAGACTTGATTCTCTAAATTTTATTTTATTTTATAAATTTTAGACTTAATTCTCTATATATTTATTAATTTAATCAAGATATAGTAAACCAAAAATCTTACTACTCAATTAAAACTATTATCTATATAATCTGAAAAATCTGAAAACATGTTTATCGTAAACAATATAATATATAGATATGGATTTGTAACTATATATACTCATCAAATCTTTAAAATATACAGCTATATATACTCATCAAATCTTTAACATTATAATTTTAAATTAGCATATAGTCTCACGGTATACCATGAAACAAAACAAGCAATATAGTGTGGGGTAAAATATTCAAGTTTTTAAATCCACCATACATCGTTACTTAATAAACTGTATGTTTTCGCATCTATACATTAAAATTTGAAACCTAAACAATAATAATCATACACTAAATAATACACAGATAGATATCTACATTTAAAAAATACAAATTAATATGATATATCTTTAGTTAATCTTTATAAAAAAAAATTACATTTCTTTATAAATATATAGCCCCGCGGTGTACCGCGGGTTAGATTCTAGTTTCAAAATTATTATGAAAAAACTATTATGACTTTGAAGAGAGCCTTGTGAAAACTCCTTCAAAATAATTTGAGTTATTTGAAGTTTTTGAAATCAATTTCGAAGTATGGTTTTGGATTGAAATATTTTTGGAAGCGACTTCGAATTGTTTTGAAATAGCTCGAAAGATTTTTGTAGTAAATGATGTTTGCTCGGGTATCACTTAAGCCCTGATTTACTGCAATTAAGATCGGCACCCGTGTCAAACAAGGCAATCGTATCAATTTTGTAATTTTCATTAAAAACAATTATGACTCTTATCTTATATTTTTGAAAAGTAATTTCTCTTAAAACATATAGGAAATCATTGGGGGCAGATTCTAGGGACTGTATTTGTTCTTCTAGATTAAGGTCTTCATCTATATCTTCTAGGCAACCATTTTCTTGTTCGTCAAAACTAGATTCATGATGTCCTTGGATAGAAGATAGAATAGAGTGAAAATATTCAAAATCTTTTTTCAATTTTTTCAATATATATATATGCCAAACAAAGAAAAAATAAGGAAGATGAAAATTTGATGTAAGATGTTTGATTACAAGTTGTTTCAATGGAATTTATCTATTAATTTTATAAAAATAATATTTTATCTTTTCAGTTATGTCCAGGACCTCCATAATATACGATATTATTGACCGGTATATCTGAATATATATCATTTACTACCTTATAACCACGAATATCTGAGAATGCCTGTCTATTCTTTACCAGATCATCAACATTAAAATTCTCATCAATTAAAGTTATATTACATAAAATGGAATCGTATCTTACGCGTCCAACTGGAATATAACCACACCCCATTTGGGGAATTGGCATAGATGCACTATATACTTCTCCTCCCCACTCGACATTGTTGGCCGAGGTTTGTTGAAATAGTTTTGCTGGCCAAAACCCAATTTTTTCTTTTGCAACCTCAAGCCACCCGTTATCATTTATTTTATCCTTTGATAAATAATCACATCAAAAGTATCAAAAATATATATATATTATGTAGATATTGATGAAATATGTTATATTATTTATTAATTAATTAAAACTCTATTAAATACCTATATAACTTCAAGTAATTTTTTTTAGTTTATTTATTTTCACGTTGGTAATAATTATTAAATATGTGTATTTTTATATTTTTCATATATCTTAGATTATTTTATCTAATTAATTTATTGAAAATTTTCTGTAACAAAACTTGTTTAACTATAAATATAATAAGTTTGATAATCTAAAACAAAAAAAAAAAATCTAACGATTACCAAACCTTGAGTAAGCCAAATGTCTCAAAAGAAATTGTTGAAGAACCGCGAACATTACTAATTTCAACTAAGCCAAGAGGAAAATCTGAACGGACCATTGTGATCCCAACTGGACACATGGTATTATAACATTGATTTTGACCCACATGTATCATTGTTTATATGGTTATGCGTACATTATAAATATCTAGTATAGTAAAAAAACTTTTAAAATATGATAATTAATAATAACTTACTTTAGTATACACAAAAATCCGAGTTTGGCTATCAGAATACAACTTTGGATTTACCTAAAATGTAAGTATATTTATGGTAATGAAATTGACGTAAATATATTAACTTTAAAATAATAAGTAAAGCATCTAATTAACATGTATTTTTCGTATCATTAAAGGAACTCAAATCAAATATAAAATACGATAAGAAACATACTGTCCAACCAGCTTGAATAAAATCGTTTCCAATCTGTATGTGTATACGAGTAGAACTGAATTGTGGAAATTTCACTTTTGGATTATATATATTAGATGTCATTGTTGCTCCATTGTAGATTTTTCCTTTTCCTCTATCGGTACGAGAAACCGCAAACTAATCATCATCACCATTGTTAATAAACATTTATTTTAAGAATTTGATAAAAGAATATTATATATTTGCTTATATGTTAGTTCAAATACAATACTTACATGATGGTTGTCATCTTTAATATTATATTGATTATTAGTGAAGTTCCAAGAACCTTGAGGCTTATATTTATCAGAGAAGGAATTTAATCTCAAGAGTTTTTTCTTTGTAATTCTCTTTATTGGCACGGTCCCAGTGGGACAACCTATACCATTTTCCCATAAGTAATCAAATTTTACATTATTTGTTCTTAACGTTTTTAAGAAAGATGTCCGACGTATCTACATTTCAAATAAATTTTGTGTTAGTGACTCTAATAATTAATGATCTATTTGATATATAGTATAAATAGTATAGACCTCATATTGGAATAAGTGATTTTTCATTGATGGATTGTCAAACGTTGATTGTTTGTAAAAATCCACACATTCATATATCACCATGTGTAGTCTGTCACCAATAAACAAAATCAAAATAGAGTAAAAATTACTTTGTAAACTTCATATGTCATGGTGTAGGAATGTTAATAATATAGAGAAATACAAATCAAAGTGAATAGTATGGTTATAAAGGAGATCTTTATATTGAACTAAACATACTTTGATGACTTTAGTGGGAGGTTTGATAATGTCTTTAAGTTGTTTTTTGTTTTCAAAATCGCGGACACTTTGCAATATTTCTGCATCCGAAAAGCTATTACTAAGACTCGACATCTCGCTGAAACACACAATATAACCCAGCAAAAATAACAACATTGTCATAATACTTGGTTTTATATTTTCTAAGAAGAAAGTTAGGGAGACGATGTAGGAGTAATGTGATACTATTACAATAACTAGGGCGAAACCCGCGCTATGTCGCGGGGCGTTTTTAGGATTTTTTTTTAAGAAGTTGTTTAATTGTGTTATATCCGCCCTACTTCCACTACATGTCTACATGTTTATAAGATCAGTTAATCATGAACACAAATGAAAATTTGATATTTCTTGCTACTGCGAGATACACTCGCATGAGCCGATCTTATTGTGTTCAAAATTGCCCAACCACTGTTAGATTCTCCTCTTTATATATCAAACATTATTTTATGTTTTTAATCAATAAGAAATCCAATTTGCGGTTATTGTATCAAATCCACCAATATTGAGTTTTTAACCTTTGTTTTTTCATTGACACTCTCTTTTGGGTTTATGATTGGGCTTTTGATATGATGTTATAGGCTCCGATCTACCTTATGTAAATCCCAATTCAGTTATTAATAAAATCAGTTGTCGATTAAAAAAACTAGAGTTTGTTTTTTTTTTATTAATAATTTAATACATACATATGAAGTGGTTAATTATATAATTTGTTTAAATTTCTGATTACCAAAACCATTTCCTACTTAGAAAATACACTTTGTGTGTCGCTTTTATGCTTGTTGCAGGCGTTAATGACTGAGAAGTGATGGGTTTCGAATGGCCCAAGGTTTCCGTTGGATTTGAATGGCCCATATCGGTTTGGCTTAGTAAAGGTTAACCTCTGAATCCACTGGAACATCCTTCTTCTCTTCATTAAGAAAGAGAGATAGCAAGAGATTGAAAAAAAAGAACTGAGAACCTCCACAACAATGAATTCCAATCCACCATCACAACGTTGATCGTTTCTTTTTCTCAGGTGAGCCTAAGGTTCAATCTCAGCTAGAAATTTGAAATCTGTGTTTTTCTTATACAGAGAATTTTTTGGGATTGAAAATTTTTTCTACAATCTAATTCCAATTCGATGCTAGAGTGTAATGAGCGAACTCTTGGGACCATGGTTTCTTCGATCCCTAAATCTCTTTCTTCACTTCTTCTGCCAAAATCTCTCTTCTTTCAAGAAAAATGACACTTCTCTCCCCAACAATCCTCTACAGCTTCCCATGAACATTTGCTCGCATTTGAGTGTTAAGCACAAAGTCGACCAGTGTTTTTCTCTCAATCTTGCTCCGGGCATCTCTCTTACCTTCAATTTCATCGAAAAGCTTAGAGGTAATATCAGCTATGGTTCTTTAAGCCCTCTTCTTTCCAAACAATAAGCCCAACAAAATGAAATATAATGACATGGCACAAAGAGAATAATTATAGGCTGAAACATGTTGAGTTGTATTAATCGAAATATTTTGATTGGACGACGATTTTAATGAGGTGTCAAGCTGAGAAGAGCCCAATATGCTGATGTGTCAGACCTGGAGAGATCATTAGTGTTATTATTGTATTGATAACTATATATAATAATAATATTAAAAAATAAGATAAATAGAGACATAAATAACATTAATGTTTATTAGATATTTGTAACTTTTGTTTTCATCAAAGTTTTCATTAAACTTTAATTATGTAATTAATACATCTATTGTTGTTTAATTTATGTGTTATGTTTCATTATTACATAATAACATGTATGTTGTATGTATATTAAAAAGGTGTAAAATAGGTTAATCTTTGATGAATTAATGTTATATTATAATATATATATATATATATCTATATATATATCAAAACAAATAGGTTAATCTTTGCATCTAGTTTTTTGGGCTGCATGTATATGCGTTTAACTAGAATTACTATGTACTTTTGACATCTACCCACTTCACCACGTACTCTTCTTTTTTATTTTTAATTCCACCCAAACTACAAAATTTTACCCAATTATCCAAATTCAGTTAATTTTTGTAATTGCGATTAAAAATCAATAATTTGCGTTCATTGTTTTGTGATTTGAACAAACTTGAGTTTAAAATTTTGACTAGACCAAGCTTTTTAATATGTTCTTGACATGTTATTGGAAAGATTTTAAACTCGGTTCACTCAAATCTCGAAATAGTGAACGCGAATTATTTATTTTTAATTGCAATTATATAAATTAATTGAATTTGGGTAATTAGATAGAATTTTATAGTTTGGTGAAATTCGAAAGAAAAAGAAGAGTTCATGGTAAACTGTGAAGATGTCAAAAGTACATGGTAATTCTACTAGAACGGATATAGTACATGTGGATTCCTACATGCACTCCTAGTTCTTTTGGGTAGTAATGTAGAGTGAAGTCCATTTATTTAAATATATATAATTCCTTAAACTTACACTTAGATTTTAAGTCATGTTAGATAACAAGTTTGCAATCAGAAAATCTCGATATATAAATAAGAAATACCCTCTCACAAAAAAAATAAAAATTGACCATGATTATTAAATTACTTTAAACGTGGTGATATACATTGTCATAAGTGTACTTTTGTTTTGGCTCTACTGATAAAAGTTTTCCAATAAGAATCCGGATTTAAACTTTCTACCAAAACATTATAGGAAAACAAAAAAACCGAGGTGTATAAGTTTTACATTAACATAGAGTGGTCGGACATAAATATACACACGTACTCAATTAAGTAAAGCAGTGTGTTAGGTGAAGTGCGGTCCCTTCTAGTGCTACTCCCACTAAGTTTTATCTTTACAACGAGGAAATCGTCTCAATGTGGCATTCCATGCTTATTTATTATATTATATAACCAAAGATTGCTCTTCACAATTCACTCTCTTCTTCTCTCTTTTTTGTTTTTGGCCTCTCACTAACAAAATGGAGATAAAACCCTCTACGATCTTCTTCACCATCACCATCTTCTTCGTCTGCCTTCTTGCACACGTCACCTCCAAGGCATCATCATCATCTATGTGTAATGGATCGGTGGCAGAGTGCAGCAACGTGGTGGAGACAGAGGAAATGACGGTGATAATGGAGTCTTGGTCAAGCCAGAGATTGACGGAGGAGCAGGCGCATAAGCTTTCGTATGGAGCTTTGAGGAGGAATCAGCCTGCTTGCGACGGTGGTAAACGTGGCGAGTCTTACTCTACTCAATGTCTTCCTCCGCCGTCTAATCCTTATAGTAGAGGCTGCTCTAAGCATTACCGATGCGGGCGTGACTCTTGACCATTCACAATCCATCACCATCATGAATCTTTTATATATGTTGTGTAATTGTATACCCTTATGTTCTTTATTTTGTTGGTGAGTTTGAATTGTTTTGGTTTTGAATCTTTGTGACATTGTGAATTTGGGGTTTCGATTGTTAGATTAAAAAAGTGTTGGGTCCAAACGAAATCCGCAAAAAGATTTACCTTTTCATGTCGGAGAGTTTTGACTTTTTGACCGAGTCGATGCCAACTGCTACGCCTCTTATCTCATATTCAATTGGAGACCAAAACATAATCATCTGAGTCATCGCCATCAAATCATTACTAAGTAAGCCTACTATGTTCTTTACCATGGTGTTGACTTAATTAGGACAATCTTTTACAAGACGGTCGTCGAGCTCACCACAATAGAAAGCAAGAGAGTTCTTACACATTAAAATTATAGGTTTCTTGTAAGAAAGCATAATATTTAAAGGGTTTAGGGTTTTTGTTTTGAGATGTTCTTGGGTCGTGTATAGACCCTTGGACGTGAAAGAAGCTAGACTATTGTTTGAGTGAAACTTGTAAGTGCACTAAACATATATTCTAGTAATTAAATTATATTTTTAAAACCCATGTCTCAATTTATGTCTCAGTTTCTTATTTCGATAGTTCTTGAGTTTTCATGATCAGGACTCAAATGAGCATACAAAACGTTGTTTTTTCGAAAAAGTTTTTATTAAATATTCAACATCCCGAAATGGACTTGGGCTAAAGCCTTACAAAGATTCAGCGATTGCAAAAAAGAAAAAGTACAGTTTTTCACCGCAAGCCACATCTACTCAATGATCGGGTGAGACGTGAAAAGCTTCAAAGTTCGGCCAGAGGGAACTGACGGGAAACCTCTCCAGGCCGTTGAAACTCCACAACCACATTGATATAGTAAAAGAGAAAGAATTAATGGACACGTGTAAGGTGGAGATGAGAAATTGGATTCAAGGGCTAAGATCGTTTGGATGCTAACAGAAGAGAAAATAAGCGTTAAAAAAAAAGCAAAGAAGAAAAAATATCATTCATAAAAATCTGTGTTGAGTTTGTTATCTTCTTCTTCTCCATTTGTTCTCTGTTTCTCTGAGAATTCACTCATGGTTATTTCCTCATTGTAGCTTGAGCTGTTTCTTCTTCTATGCTCTAGCAATTTGAGAAGTGAATCCTTGTTTCATGAACATTGGTTCAATCTATCGTTCGATTTGTGTTTCATAGAGAAATTGTAGTTTCTCTGTAACACGCATCGCAAATGGGATCTCCAAACCTCATCGCCGCTGGAGAAAAAAGTTTGCCCACCACCGCCTTTCCCTTGCAAGCCCCAGGCCACCAGTTAAGATCAAAAACAACAAATAGAAAACTAGATCTACTGTTTGTGTCTTCAAAGGAGAGAGAAAAATGCGATGATCAAAGCAACGAGTGTGCCGAATATAATCTAAAAACGGTATTTACTAATCTCTATATACAACACGATATTTACTAATCTAAAAAGATTGTAACTTCTACCGCAAGTCGCAGTTGTACGATGGGAAGCCGTACTGTATTATAGCTATACAGTTGTTTGATACAGTGAAAGCTATACGGTCCGTATATACGGCGATTATACGGCGTACATACGGTGAAATCCGCATATACGACGCTTTTTTAAAAAATACTCAAAAACAAAAACTATGTAATTTTATTAATGTTTGGAAAAATGATTTAACCAAATTATTATTTTGGCTCTCAAAAAATTAATCATAATAATTAACTATAAAATAACTTTATTGTCATTCTTTTCTATTATTTTTATGCTTATTAGTTATTTACAATTTTAAAAATATTTTGTAAAGTTAAAAATTTGAAAATTTTTTTGTATTCATGTATAGTATTCATCATGTTACTATATTTATGTTTTATTGTTATTATATATACTAGGTTATGAACCCCGCGATATCGCGGGGAAACTCATTTTCAACAAATATATTTTATTACGTTTATGTATTAAATTATTATTATAATATATTCAAATAATTGAATTATTATATAAAATTGACTATGTCTTAAATTTATATCGTTAATATTTTCTAAAGATATTAAAAAAATTATGAATAAAAATGTTAAAAAAAAATTATGATTAAAAATACTTTTGAAACATTTTTTGTGAATATAAAATTATTTATAAGTGAAAAAATAACTAACGAAGAGTTATAATATAGAGAGGAAAAATTTTAGCGGGTCAAAACCAAAAAGATATAAAAACAACAAGAAAAATAACCGTCAACACAAAGAGTAACCGTCAATATTTTAACGAAGAGTTGCGATAAAAAGACATAACCGAGAAAAAATAACCGTCGATATTTTAACGGAAAGTTGCGATAAAAAACACAACCGAGAAAAAATAACCGTCAATATTTTAACGAAAAGTTGCGATAAAAAGACACAACAAAAAAGTAAATGTCAAAATTTTTATGAAAAGTTATGATAAAAAGACACATCAAAAAAAATAACTGTCAACGAAAAATGTAACCGTAAATATTTTAACGAAGATTTGGGAAAAAAAGACACAACCGAGACAAAATAACAGTCAATATTTAAACAAAAAATTCAGATAAAAATACACAAACGGAAATAAATAACCGTCAATATTTCAACGAAGAGTTGCGATAAAAAGACACAACCGAGAAAAATAACCGTCAATATTTTAACGGAAAGTTGTGATAGAAAGACACAACCGAGAAAAAAAAAACGTCGATATTTTAATAGAAAGATACCATAAAAAGACAAAAACAAAAAAAAGAAACCGTCAATATTTTAACTGAAAGTTACGATAAAAAGACATAACCAAAAAAATAACCATCAATGAAAAATTGTAACCGTAAATATTTTAACAAAGATCTAGGACAAAAAGATACAACCGAGAAAAAATAACCGTTAATATTTTAACGAAAAGTTGCGATAAAAAGACACAAACGAAAAAAGTAATGTTCATATTTTAACGGAAAGTTGCGATAAAAAGACACAACCAAAAAAATAATCGTCAACGAAAAAAAGACCGTCAATATTTTAACGAAGAGTTGCGATAAAAAGACACAACCGAGAAAAAATAACCGTCAAACTTTTAACGGACAGTTGCGATAGAAAGACACAAACAAAAAAATGACCGTCAATATTTTAACGGAAAGTTACGATAAAAAGATACAACCGAAAAAATAACTATCAACGAAAAAAGTAACAGTCAATATTTTAACGAAGAGTTGCGAAAAAAAAGATACAACTGAGAAAAAATAATTGTCAATATTTTAGCAAAAATTGCGATAAAAATACACAACCGAGAAAAAATAACCGTTAATATTTTAACAGACAAAAAAAGATACAATCGAGAAAAAAATATCTTCAAGATTTTAACAAAAAGTTATGATAAAAAGGAAAAAAATAAAAACGTAACCGTCAATATTTTAACAGAAAGTTGCAAGAAAAAAACACAACAAAAAAAATAACCGTCAACGAAAAAAGTAACCGTTAATAATTTAACGAAAAGTTACGAGAAAAAGACACAACCGAAAAATAACCGTCAACTAAAAAATTAACCGTCAATATTTTTACGAAGAGTTGCGATAAAAAGACACAACCGAGAAAAAAAACCGTGAACATTTTAACGAAAAGTTGCGATAAAAAGACAAAACCGAGAAAAAATAACCGTCAATATTTTAACGGAAAGCTGCGATAAAAAGACACAAAAGAATAAAGTAACAACCAATATTTTAACGGAAAGTTGCAATAAAAAGACACAACCTAAAAATAACCTTCAATATTTTAATGAAGAGTTGCGATAAAAAGCACACCCGAAAAAATAACCGTTAATATTTTAACGGAAAGTTACGATAAAGAGACACAACCGTTCAGAAGTGCAAAATGCATTTATTGAGGTTGTTATTTTGGTTAACAAAACCAATTTGATATGTAGTCTTTGGTTGATGTAAAAAAACTTGGTAGTATTACTAACTATAAAAAAAAATGCAATGAAATTATATAATGGAAAGACGTAACTTTAAATAAATAAATGCAACTATAAAGATATAATTGTACACTGAAAAGATACGACGGTAATTGAACAAATATAACCGTAAATAATTCAACGAAAATTCAAAGAGAAAATTCAATAAAAAGACATAACCGTAAAAATAACCGATTTAAACGAAAGATTGCGATAAAAAGACGCAACCGTTCAGATGTGCAAATGATATTTATTAGATTGCTATTATATATAGGTTTTTATTTATTTATTTATTTAACAAAAAATATCTACCGTATAGTCCCCGCAAAAACGGCCGTATATACGTCTATACGCTATACGGTGCTCCACCGTACGCCTAGCGTATAGCGTATTTTAGAACACTAAGTACATGATACAATAGAGTTAATTACTAGTATCGTTGCTATGGCATCATTGTTTCTCCGGTTTGAAAATTGTAGTAAGTAAAGTTTACAAGTTTGTGTACTCTAATATTAAATTATAAATTTTCGATTAATTCATACTCTTATACTACAGTTGAATACACATGGATATTGATATTATACCACTTACACTACCGATTGTTTTTGATATCAAAATTCACAACTTGTTTTAAAAGAAAATCATCATGTGCACAAACGTGGTGTAAAGTCTAGTATTTGATTATTAGATTCGAATACAAATCGAAATCGAAAGTACATAATCTTTCAAAGTATATTAGACTTTGCTTTGAATACTGTTATTTGTAAACCAAAAGTATTAAAAACCGAAAAAACCAAACCTAAAACAAATAACAATGACATAACATTTTTCTAATTTATTTGATGCTTAAGAGATAAATAATATTAACATGCAACACATCATCTAATTTGTTTCTTGTAATAAAATATTTGAGAAATTACATAAGATTTATTTCCATATTTCCCTCTTTTTTTTCGAAACATTGCTGAGAACACATGCGGAAGGCATGACGTGGAATAGCTCCCTTGAATCACACATTTTCAGTCCAAGCTTGAACTTCTCTACGGTGTCTTACCACCACTTCCTTTAATTTTTTTTCGAAGCATTGCTGAGAACACAAGGTACCCGTACCAACTATCAAGGTGGTTGGGTATTTACATCGAGAATTACAATAATCACAAAATGGTCGAGTTGCACGATTATTAAGAATCACATAAACCTTGGATGATTCATCATGTTTTCCCGGTTTAAACCATATGAAGTCTCCGTGTGTGCATCTGATGTGGAAAGTGATGCCACAATGATCACATGAATAGAACCATTGCTCTGGATTTATTGTTTCCTCACAAACGTCGCACCAGCATTGGTCACGTTTTTTTTCTCCATAACATAGAGACAAAAAATGATCTTTATCATTTTCGTGTTTAACAATTTTGGGCATACTAGAGCATTTAAGGTCTAAATCAAATTCACATTCTTCACAACTCAAAACCATTGTTGCCTTATCTCCACAAGCATTACAAATTCGGTCTCCTGATGAGTAGTTGGTGTATAACAAATGAGGATGACTTTCATGGAAAAAAGGCTCGGAAATAGAACCACATCGCACATCCATGATCATTCTCTTCTCATCACCTTTGTACCTAAAACCTTGGAAAAAGTTCTGACAAGCTTCGCAAATGCCTATTGAATCAGCCGAGAAATCCGAGAAACTTGTGATTAGAGTGGTCGAGATCTTGTAAAAGGAATTTATTTTCTTTTTTGGAAGATACGCACATTTTTTATGAAGGCTGAAATCATCACATTCCATGCAACTATAGGATGGACTAGAAAATATGGGATTAAAGCATGCTTTACACCATACGCATTCATCGTTAGCATCACTTTCTTCTTTAAGCTTCAAAGTATGCTCCTCGTGACTAAAATGCTTTATTACTCCTTCTTCGATCTCCTCGTATGGTTTCACCTCTAGAGTATTTTCTGATATGCCTTCAAGTTCAACCCCATCCCATATCCCAAATCTTGTGGCACATCTTAAATGAATGGCAAGATCAGGACATTGAGAGCAAGAATAAGCCCCACATGTCCAGTTTATCTTTTTATGACATACTCCACATTTCCAATTTCCAGCGTCTAGAGAATGATTGTAATAAATACGGTGATCATGACGATAGATCTTTATAACGCGTGGTATATCAATACAATTTCTATGAATCATGAAATTGCACTGAGGACATACGTAAGGATTTGGATCGTCATCCATTCCACAAGCGCTACATACAAAACTTCGTTGCGGCATCAGGATGAGTGAATGCTCATGAGCCTTAAGGTTGGTTAGAATGAAAGCGGGTGGATTATTTGCACAATTGACATCCACACTGAAATTACAGATAGAACAGTGATAAAACAAGTTATGAAGTTTGTTTCCACACAAACAACATTTTCCATCGGTGTAACTTGGAACATGCGTAAGACGCTTGAGAAGGTGCTTAGGATGACAAGAGTAGTTGATATCTGGTGTTGATTCGGCGCAATCTTTGTGAAAACTCAAATCACATAAGTTACATGCATAAGGAAACCGGTCATCAAGCAGTCCACATAAATGACAAGTAAACATAATCATCTTTGAAACAAGGGATAAAGAATGCTCGTGGGTCTTTGTACCCTCAATTTTTGTCACAACTTTTTTCCTTGCGCATATTAAATCGATGGCAAAATCACATATTGAACAATAATAATACATCTTTGCCAAGTTACCTCTACAAAGCTTGCATTCTCCATTGACATCTTCATTTGCTGCAAGTACCTTGAGGTGCAAAGAATGTTGTGGATGATAGAGGTTGCGAATCTCTAGACCGGATCTGGCACACTCATTGTGAAAGTAGAGTCGAGTCTGTATGCAACGATAACCTTCACTATAGTAGTCTTTACCATGATTGCAGCCGTCACATTGTAAACCACGCGATGCAAATAGTAGATAATGTTTATCGAGTAGTATTGTATAAGATGGCATGTTTTTTTTTTTTTCTTGCTCTTATTTTTAGTATTTTCTAAAATTTTCTGATGTTTTGGTTTCAAATAATGATGAGAGCTTCATATATTATACCTTTTATAGATTTAAGTTATTCTTTGTTTACATGAACATAATACTCATAGAATTATGCTTGTCCTAATATTGATAACAAGTCTCGACGAAAAAATTCTTGCAACTAAACTATCTATTTTCTTTTGTCGAAAGAAAGGAAAGTATATCAGATTTTCTTAAGAATATTTATACATATAAGTTATTCTTTGTTTAATTAAGAAGAAATTCCAATTTTTATGTGGGAATTCTAACATACGGGAACCATATGAGCTGAATATTTATTTACTTGGTAATTGAGACAAGGTTCAGAGTGATAAACAAGTTAAAAAGTCAATTAAGGAGAAAGTAAAAACAAAAATTAACGCAGTTATCTGATTTGGTCAAACACAATTTTTTGAGTCACCCCGAAGTAAAGCTTAGTTTGGAATTTTGGTCAACGGCATATCACATAAGCCTTTCGTTAAGTCAGAAAATGTATTAAGGGCCTGACTGGTTTAAACGCAGCGGTTGCGGTTGCGGTTGCGGGAGTTTGCGAAAGCGGGCGGTTGCGGCTTTAAGCGTTATCAAGCGTTTTGAACGATTGATTTAGCGTTTGAAAATGGGAGCGTTTGCTGGAGTTTTATGACTGGTAAACCAACAGGTGCGATAGCAGTTAAATAAAAGAATGAACAAAATAAATAAAAAAATAATACAAAAAAAAGAAATAAAAACACTAATATATTATTATGATAATATTAGAAAAATTTGAACATGCTTAATAATTAAAACCATAGATAAAGTACTAAATAATTATTCAAAAATAAAGAAATTTTGTAACAAGATAGTACTTTATGCATCTGGTTTAACATAAAAAATTGCATTAAGTAATGGAAAAAACTGTAAATAACGTTGAATTCAATCAAAAAGCAAGTGAGTTTCTATTCGAGAAAACAAATCGAAACATATATTCAATCAAAAAGCAAAGCAATACGTAATGAAAATAAAAAAAAAACGATACCATGAAAAATATTCAAAAAGTTACACATGAGGTGATGAAAGAATAAAAGGATATATGATACTTACATTTGGTTATTGATTTTCATCAGTTTGGGTGGAAGACATTGAGAGAATAGAGTTTCAGAATATTATTAGGGTTTCTGATGAGAACGTGATACAAAGATGAAAGATATATATATAGGATTAATATATATTATAATAATTATAAGTAAATGTTTGATTTTTTTTTTTTTTTTTTTTTTTTTTTTTTTTTTTTTTAATCCAACCGCTACCGCCCGCAACCGCAAACGCTTGCGGGAAGGAGCTTTTGAAATTCAGCGATTTCGAGCGGTTCGAAGCGGGACGGAGCAGTTTCTATGATTGGTTTCAACCGCTAACAACCGCAACCGACCGCTAGCAACCGCTAGGAAGGTGCTAGCGGGAGAACCAATCAAGCCCTAAAGTGAAAAACTAAGCGATTATTACAAAGTCAACAGAGTCTATAAGCCAAACATTGATGAGATTTTGAATTTCTACTCATTCTATGAGCAACCCAAATCCACTAAAATCGGATCGTTGGACGAGATTGGAGTGACACTGAATTCCAGTAGAGCTTTGACTTACTTGTAGGAAAGCTTCCATACCTCTCTGACATTGGAGGAACCATCTGTGACTTCAGCCACCAATGTTGAAGCAAGAGCACCTGCAAAGAAGATAACTTTATACGGACTTAGTAAGTGGGTTATAATATCATTGTAGAGGATGAACAATGCAACCCTTGCTTTATATTCATCATCGAATAGACCATCTTACCGTCTTTCTCTATCATAGACAAGAACTGCCTTGTCCCTCCACCAACCCCGAAATAGTATTTCTTTGCAGCCATATACACTGCTCCATCAGGATACGCCAGGCACTGCAAAGAACCAAGTGTTGACCCTCCAATGAACCTTTAAGAATGATCTTTAAAGTTTCTGCTATCTAGGAGAAAACGAGAGTGTACCCTTTTAATCAATTGATAGAGACTTTTCTGAGCGGAGATGGAATATATCGTCTCAGCCATTAAAATGACGTCATAACCACCCTTCTTATCAGTCTCACCATCTCTATAAACTAGTGGAAGAACCTGATGAACTTCACTCCAGTCACCAGCGAAGAAGCGTACTTCTGTTTCACCTACTGAGACAGAGGAAGACTTCTCGGACAGATTAGCATTTAGATTCGGAATGGTGAGACATCGAAGGACCTCAGCATTGAAGTCCTGGAAATGGACGACATCTGAACCCTGGACACCAAAAGAAACCATAAGATCTAAAAAGATGGGCCTTGGCCACAGAGTATAATAACTAAGTTCAGAGAGCATCAACTTACCTTGAGACACGCATAGATTCCTGGAAGTGCATGACCACATCCAAGCTGAAACCATAGATTCAACGACATAGGTAAGTGATGTAAGAACAAGTGAAATCCATTAACTAAGGCAGGAGCCTACCTCGAGAACCCGCTTTCCAGAGAGTGACAAGTTTCCAGTTTGTGATTCTTTTTCAAGAGCTTTGACAAGATCAATTGATCCTTCCCAAAGCTTAAGCCCGCCTAGATTCAATCGAATTCGAGATTAACGAAAAATGGATAATGCAGTGAGATACAAATCACATAAACCATAACTAGAACAAATAATTCACCTTCATATACTCCAGGAACCAAATCTGAATTAGGCAATCCAAAGACCTCTTTAGTGCTCACACGACCCTATAACCAAAACACAAACTAACAAAACTCACTTCCAATAATTTCGTCTGATTTTGAAGTTTTTATAGAATCTGAGAGTCTCAAATTTTGGTGAATTTTCTTCGAAAGTGATAACAGAAACATACCTTCAAAAGAGTGATCTCGCCGATAATCACTTTATCCACTTCGAAATCGACGGAGGAAGATACCTACTAAGACGAAATCCCAAGAAATCAGAAAGAGGGAAAAGTACATAGAAACTGGAGATGGAGTTGCAGAGGAAGTAGTAGTGACGAAACCTCGGAGGATAATACTTCAACAGGAGGAGGCGGTGGAGGAAGAGCTGGCTCTGGTGAATCAAGGAACCCTAAATCTAGACCAGAACCTTGTGAAGATTTATCGTTTGAAGAAGAGAAAAGCTGAAACGTCGGGTTCGTCGCCATTGAACAAAAGCTTCGGCGGCAGCTCTTCGAATTATAGAGAGGCCCAGAGCACAGAGGAGCAAATAGAAATCCATCAAACCGGTCGGTACGAGATTGGATTTATCGGTTCAGTAAAACCAATCAAATTAAATCACACAGCAGAACTGTTAGAATACAAACTTACGAATTTTTTATTTTTTTTAGACTTACGAAATTTACTCAGCCAAATCCAAATGGACCAAACTTAACTAATGTTATAGTCAGGTAACAATGAACTCAACCAAATTTGTTAAAAAGAAAGAAATTTTCATGGTAAGAAATTGAGTTTTTTTCTCTCGCAAAGTCAATTTGGGTTTTCACCATTTAGTCATTTAAATTTTTTTTTACCAAAATACCCTCAACCATAAACGGTTTTCATTCAGTTACATTTGGATTTCTCCTATTTTTTTTTCTTATTATGTATAAATTTTTTTTGAAAAAAACAGAAAAATAAATCGAAAATCTCAACTTTGTCAATTTAGAAAATCTCTGTGAAAATAGTTTTTTTTTTAAATCTGAATAATTTTGCATTCATCTTCGATTGAGAGTTTCTGAGTCGAGTAATTAGAAACAAATTTCGTATTTCTGGCAATGAACAAAATGCAACTAATTTCCGGAGACTCAAACACTTTGGCTTTTTAAACTTAAAATATGCTAAATAGATTCATATGTAAAAAGTATCCAAAACGTAAAGAAAACAAGATTCTGAGATAACTGCTAACGACGGCCGCAAAACTAGGGTTGCAGAAGAGGATACTCATGTTGAAGATGACTGAAAAATTACAGTTTTACTCTTCATCGAATTTCTTCTGTGTACGTAAATATAACTTACGGTGTACGTACACGAAATATTTAGTGGAACATATTAAAGTGATTCTAATAAATATCTAACCACCCTCTACAAAAAAAAATTAACAATTAAATGATTTGACCCTAAAATCAAGCTATTTTGTTACTTTCATACTAGATTTTAACCCGCGGTACACCGCGGAATGATTTAATTTTAAAGTTAGTATAAAAATATTTTGTAAATTGTATCTCCTTATAACATATTTATTTATATTATAGTTTACAATTATTATTAAGTAACGGTATACCACGAATCCACGAGATAATTATTAATAAACTGAGGATTTAACCCGTATTAAAGCGGTATATAAATATTGATTCAAATTCGTCCGCCATATAAATCATTTCCGAAATATAACCCGTTCCGTAATTTCTTAACCCGTCCTGTGATTTGTATTAAAAAAAATAAGGATTAAATCCGTATTGAAGTGGCGGATTAATGATATTTTAATCTTTTTATTATTGTTGATTCAAAAACCCGTCCCGCCAAACCCATCCCGCCAAAAAACTCATTTATTTTATTAATGTTCTTATTTATGATATGATTCTGAATCATTGTCTAAATATTTTAATCGATGTAGAACGCTGAACACACATTTTCGTCAATTGGATAATATATGTCCGTTTTTAAAATTTCGAATCACAGTATATGCAGAAAAAAAATTGATTTTTTTTTTTTTACTTTATGTATTATATGATGATTCAAAACAGTTAAAAACAAATCAAACAAAGATGATAGGAGAATCATAGTTATAAATCTTAATCAAATCTTCTAAAAATCTAAATTATTAAATATGGAATATCCGGTGTATGAGTTGGGTTAAATATAACCCGACCCAACAAATTTTTTGTAAAGGAATTTTTAAAATGGGTCGGATATCCGATATATCCGAAAGCTTTTTTATCCACCCGTCATAAAAAGTGTTGCGATTATACTAGTATAGATATCTCAATAAAATTCATGCATATATAATAATTAAATAAAAATATATAGTCAAAGAATATGTGTCCTCATATTTCTAAAAAGACTATTTATGTATACGTATAATAATGTATGTATATTTTTGTTGGTGAATTAAATTTGTAAGATAAATATATTAATACTATTTTGACCAAAATATATATATATATATTAATACTATAAATGAAGAGGGAGATGTTTACACTTCTACACATATATATATATATATATATATATATATATATATATATATGACCACATACAAACACCAAACCCGAGTTGTTTAACAATTAGACGTTGGACCTTAAATGGACTCCATCATAATGGGGAAAAAACCCGAAAAAACCGCCATGTATTTTTTTTTTGGCCGTTTAATACGCGTGTTATTAAAGTTGGAATAAAAATGCCTGGTTTCATTTCAATTGCCTTTTAAAATCGTCGTGTTTTAAAACTTGGTATAATCATACACCCGCGTTAACAGTCGTTAACTCTACTAACGGAATGACTAACCGCGGTTAATACTTAACCCAACATCGTTAGCTGAAACCCAAATAAAGACACTGTTGCCCCTAATCGATTTTGGGAGCATAGAACCCTAAATTCTCTCTAAATTCTCTCTAAATTCTCTCTATCTTCTCTTCATCTTTACAAAAATGATGAGCCAAAGTTCTGGTTCTGGGTCTGATGCAAATTCAATTAGCCGTAGTTGGGGTCCTATTTGCAACTGTGGTAAAGCAACAACGGTTACAAAGGCATGGACAAATGAAAATCCGGGTAGAAGATTCTTCAGATGTGGTGTTCATGGCTTCATCAATTGGGCAGATGAAGAGAAGCCATTTGGTTGGCAAAAAGTGAGCTTGTTGGAGGCGAGAGATGAGATTCGTCAGCTAAAAGAGTCTGTAAAGGCAATGAAGGAAGCAAAGGAACATACGGTGAGTATCTCAGGGTCTGCAAATTACGATAATCTGAAGAAACTCGAGGAAGAGAAGAAGAAGCTTGAGGAAGAGCTGAAGAAAATGGAGGAAGAGAAGAAGAAACTGGAGGAAGAGAAGAAGAAACTGGAGGAAGAGAAGAAAAAGCTTGAAATTGAAGTTATGGGTTGTAATGAGAGGGAAAAAATGCTTAGGCAGTTGATTGTGTTGTCTTGGGGATGCTTCATTGTTGTTGTTGCAATGTGCCTTGGAATGGGAAACAAGTAAAAGTCTAGTTTGTTGTCTTATGGTGATGTTGTTTGTTGTCTAGTTTGTTGTCTTATGGTGATGTTGTTTGTTATTTTGTTGTTTTGTTGTTGTAAGACTCTTTGTTTGTTGTTTTGTTGTTGTAAGACTCTTTGTTTAGTTGTAAGACTCTTTGTTTGAACTATCATAATCCTAACATTTCATTGCAACAAAAGAACCGTTTAGTTTGAAATGGTATAGATCCCACCAAAAACAAATCAGGATCCTACCAACCAAACACATCATCCTACATAGATATCATCCTAAAAGTCAATCAAGACACAAAAAAGAACACAAAAGATAGAAAAGTCATCCTACTTCTCAGGTCGCCAAACATCAAAGACCTTATCAGTCCAATGGGACATAAAAAAGACAGGAGGTCTTGGAGCTTCATCGGATCCTTTACCACGGCCTTTGCCTTTACCCTTGTCTTTATTCTTGCCTTGACCATTTTTAACACCAGGAGGACGTCCACGAGCACGGCCTCTACCACTTGGATTAGCTGCTGGAGCACTTGGAGCAGCTACTGGAGCACTTGAATGTTGTGGATTTTGTGTGGATTGACTCTGACAACAAGCTGGTATAGATTGGCTTTGAGCAACAGGTGGTGTGGACTGGCTTTGAGCATTCCTCCACCTCTTCGGTGCATTGTTGATGCTCCATGGATCATCATCATCCTATAACAAATCTGATTAGTCATGGTTAAAACAAATGTTGCTTTTACAAGGTAAAGTCAGAACACTTACAAGAGACTTTCTTGGTCTTCCCCTTTTGCGTGGAGGAGCTGGCTGCACAGTTGCGTTCTTGCAGGTTCCCTTATTGTGACCAATCTGCTTACAGTTACTACATGTGACTGTTTTTCCTTCTCTTGTTAGCTTTGTTGGATTAGATGATGATTCAGTTGGCTCCTTAATCCTATCAAACTTCTTTGGTCTTCCTCGCTTCTTTCTCTTATCTGGCACTTCAATTGATCCTTTGTTTGTTCTCCTCCATAATCTTTCTCCATTCACAGGTTCTATGTTGTCTTTGTAGGTAGCTTTCCAAACATGTGTAGCTAGATGTCTATCAACATAGCTACATGGCAAGCAAACTCAATAATCAATATACAATGTTTAACATACAATGTTTTAACATTAGAGACTGTTAAATGAGATAAAGATTTAGTAACACTTACTCTTCTGGATCGCGGTTCTTCTCTGTAATAACAAATATAGCATGTGGACAAGGAATGCCTGTGAGATCCCACTGTCTACAAGCACACTCCCTAGTCAAGAGGTTCACCGAGTAACTGCCACTACCCTCTAACACCTCATATTTGTTCTCACCACTTTTAAGAATTTGGCAAAACTTAGCTGACTTGCGGTTGCCTTCAAGAATCTGCATTATCTTTGGTGGGAACCTTGTCTTACATTTCTTTGTCTTGTCACACAGCTTCGATATCCTCTTCATACAAGATCTCCTGACCTCCTCGAGCATATTTATCACTGGCAGCTTCCTTGCATCCTTAATGGTTTTGTTGAAACTCTCAGACAGATTGTTGCAAACATCCTCACAGCTAGACTGACAACTGAAGAATGCTCTGCACCATGTTCTTGGATCAGTTTTCAACAAATCCTCATGGGCTTCTGGATCATATGATCTCAAAGCATCCATGTTGAATGAGTAATCCCCTTCTGTAGCACTGTAAGCAATAGCCCAGAAGTAGCTTTCATGGCAGTAATCACCATACACCTTCCTCCAGTTAGCATAAATGTGTCTAGCACAATGCCTATGTTCTGCTTGTGGCAACAAATCAGCCACAGCATTGATCAAACCTTTCTGCTTATCAGATATAACAGTGAAACCATCTCCAACACCCAAATCTAAATCCTTCTTCAGCTTCTCAACAAACCAGGCCCAAGATTCATTGTCTTCTACTCTTACTATTGCCCAAGCAATAGGATAAATCCTATTGTCTGCATCCCTACCAACTGCAGCTAGAATCTCACCTTTCAATTCCCATTTAAGAAAAGCCCCATCTAGTCCAATAATTGGCCTACAACAACTCTTCCATGTCCTTCTTAACTTCTCAAAGCATATATAGAACTTGTCAAATTGCTGCTTACCATTAGCTTGAGGGATGGTGAGAATCTCTGTGTGTGTCTCCTTATTAGACCTCTGCAGCTCACCTTCATAATCCCACAGCTTTGCAAATTGTTGTTTTTGTGTTTGAATCACCAAATCAAACGCGATCCTTCTTGCTTTTTGGCATATCCACTTAGACACTGAAATCGTGTACCTCATCATAATCTCATCCTTAATGTCAGTCCAACTCAGTGTTGGCCTCCTTCTTGCTTCATCTCTGAATAATCTGGCAATCACACCTTGTTTCAGCATCCTAGCCTTTCCACTGATTGCATGATGATGCGCACCCACATAAGTTTTGACTGACCATTTCCCAACCCTCTTGTCTACAGAACAAAAGATCTTCCATTTACAATTCTCATGACTGCATATAGCCATCAACTGTGTCTGACCCCATTTGCAAAGTTTCACATCATAATTCATCTTCAAAACATATCTCAGAAGCTGATCCTTAAACTCTTCTCCATTATTAAACATCTGCTTTAACCACAAGTAAGGTGGCTTATCCTTGGTAAATTTTGCTCTTGATATCTCTCTTTCTTCACGGTCAAATGCATCCCATTCTTCATCTGTATCCATAGCAGGATCAGGTCGCTCAGCATCCATGCATTGCCTCTCAAAATCATCTTCATCTTCTTCACTTTCACCTACAGCAACTCCTTCATCAGCTTGGTGATTAGCCTGACCATCAACAGCTTCTTCTGGAACTTGATTAGTCTCCTCATCCACAGCGTCTTCTGGAACTTGATTAATTTCCTCATAAAAGGCACTAAACCGAGGATCATCTCCCATACATTCTTCTACTGGATCTACACCATCAGCTTCTGCTCTATCTTCTTCACCAGCTCTGTCACCAGTTTTATCTCCTTCATCCTCTGCATCAGACTCTTCATACTCTCCAACAACATCCTCTTCTTCAGGGAACGGTGTTGGTTCAGACACAGCTTGCTGAATGTATATATCGACTTCTCCACCAATCAGAGCTTCACTACACAGTTGCCTAATCCCACTATCTCTGTCCTCAGAGATAGCTCTTACAGAATCAAAGTCTTCATGAACAAGTTTGTACCAAACTGCTTCCACGGCACCAGATACTCCATTCTCTTTCGGGAAATCGTCGAAGATCGAAAAAGTCATCAGGTCTGGATCCATCAACATATCCCTCTTCTCGAATCCTCCGATGTAGGTGAAACATTCATTTTTGAAGCAGACATCTCCTCCGAACTTAATATGAAGTTTCAAACAATCGAAACCACTACAAAGAGACAGAGATGAAGTTAGAAACCCAGAAATCGATACCCTAAAAATCTTAAATCGATTACATACCTCATCACGATGCGACCAAACTTACTCCTTGAACTCAAAATCTAACCAAACCGCAACCAATCAAGCGACTTAACACATCGATTATCTTGTTTTCCGACAAATCGATTCAAAATTCAAAGAGATAGAGATATTTAGGGTTTCTGATACCAAATCGATTTGGGGAAGAATGCGAAAGGGTAACAGTGTCCGTGGTTTGTCTAATTAACGATGTTGGGTTAAGTATTAACCGCGGTTAGTCATTCCGTTAGTAGAGTTAACGACTGTTAACGCGGGTGTATGATTATACCAAGTTTTAAAACACGACGATTTTAAAAGGCAATTGAAATTAAACCAGGCATTTTTATTCCAACTTTAATAACACGCGTATTAAACGGCCAAAAAAAAATACATGGCGGTTTTACAATGATTACGGAAAACAAGGATTTGGCATATATACACACAAGAACGATGATGATTAGGCAAGCAAAAGCGCACAACAATGGCTTTAGATACTGTGAGAGGATTGATAAGGGACTCAATGTCACTTGATTCCTACTCGGCCTCTTAGAATCCTGGAAGCAAGCACATATCGGTACCTATAAAAGGAAACAAAAAGAACTTAGCTAATGCATAGAAAAATTGATAGCAAAAGATTGTTACCTCTTCACTACGTCTTCCAGCTGGAAACCGAGTGATTTGACTAGAATCTTGCTTCCACTGTAAGCACGGGCTAAGATCACGGTGATGAACATGATACTCAATAAAAGCATCCAGGGACTTGCAACCATGCGCATATAGATACTTGAGGCTCAATGGAAGTACTTCTTTTAGTGATTTGAGTTTCTTGCAATAATTGAGGCAAAGAGTTACCAACAAGGGGAGATCCTTGATGCTTGTAGGTACTGTTTCAAAATCATGTCTGCTGATATCCAAATATGTTAAACTTTTAAACCGAGTAAGTTGATCAGACAAAGATTGAACATTCTTGCAGTTGTCAAGCCAAAGCTCAACCAGACAATATCTGCTCTGATCTTGTTGTGCATCAGAAAGGTTCACCAATGCTTGGAGATTTGTACAATCAGAAAGAGTGAGTGTCTCCAGCTGGTATAGGTCTGGCAATGTCTCGAGTCGACAGCAGTTACAAAGCGTCAAATGCTTCAAATTGGTAAGAAGAATCATCGTCGTTGGTAACACTCTGAAGCCATTGCCACTGAGGTCTAATTTCTCTAGAACCATCATATGGTGAATGTCATCTGGGATTTCTTCGATGTTTAGGTTGATCAGATTTAAGTCTCTCAGCCAGGGAAAATCTGAAAAGCTATAACACTTGAAAAGATTGCTTCTCTCACTGCAGATAAACCGCATGATGTCGAGTGATTTAAAATTGTAGGGAGATGACATGAGCTTAGGTGTTTGATTTTCCAACATCATTAGTTCATGGGGGATCTCTTGCTCCGAAAGAAAACAGAGATGCTCTGCGTATCCTTCAAGAAGCTCCAACTTGATTTTTATTTCACCATTGATTGATAGGTTTGGAATGGAAATCCCCTCGAATTCATACGGTGTTGGATCAAGAACTTCCATGTGGATTAATCTAACGTGCAAGCACATTCCAGAGATGCTGCTTTGAAAGACAGTAGACTCAGATTCCCTTAATATGATCCTTAGATTCTTAAGCCCATCACAGTTGGACACATCAAGCTTCTTCACTCTAGATAAGCCCCATATAGACTTTGGAATCCGCTGCAAGGAAATGCAACCTTCTAGTATCAACTCTTCGAGACACACTGCTTCATGAAGATCTGGAAGTTCTTTCAAATCCTCACAGCCTGTCAGATCTAGCCTCCTCAGATGCAAAAGTCTCTGAGAAGAATGAAACAAAACAGAAAGAAAATATAAAGCAAAAAAAAAAAAAAGAACACTTTCTAGCTAGGATATAAAGAGACTACAAAAGTAACATACTGGGACTCCACTCCAAAGGCTTGTGAGCTTGCTGTAACAAAGATTTAGTTCAACAAGACAATCTGGACTAACTTTTGAAGGCAATGTTGTATAAGAATATGCATCCCAATGTAGTAGTCTAAGCTTACGAGAAACTATCGGATTTTCCTCTAGATTGCGTCGTATTCTGGACTCTGAACCTTTAGAATGCTTGTAAATTTTCAGAAATTTGAGATTATACATTGGCTCCAAAGCATTCCACTCAATATGAAAACTGTAGGGCAGTACACAAACATCTAGTGCGACGCCTTCAATTTTTCTTGTACCCTGACGATAGTAAACATGTAATGTTTAAGCAGAAACCATGGCATAGCCAAATAAACATTTAACATGAGCACAATGAGACACAACAAAATCTAACAAGTTTGTAGAGGCTTACAGCATAGTTTGCTAGTACTCTATATATGTCGTCAGGATGCCACAGGATGCGTTGTTTGGCAGGTCTGTTGCCAGATTCTTGACACACAATATGTCTTCCCGTTTGCTCTACCAAACCATGCATAGCTATACACCCATCAGTTGATATGTCAATGAGAGACTTTTCCACTAAATCTCTAATTCCAAATCGACCGCAATCAAGAAGGGTTGTGACTCGCAAGACAGGGTCTCCATTGAAAAGACATGCGACATGAAGAAAAGCAGTCTTACCAAGTTCGTCTAAGTTATCATAGCTAATTTTCAAGATACTCATAATGTTTTCGTAAGGAGCTTCCTCAAACGATTTTAAACCATCTTTCCACTCCATTAGGGACTTGCCATGAAGATAAAAGCCAAAAGCCTCAAGGGCCAAAGGAAGACCTTGTGCAAGCCTTGAAACACGATTTGAGAGATCTTTGTAGACATGAGAAGGAGGATGTCCTCCTTCAAAAGCAACCTGCTCAAAGAGTTTGATGGCATTATCATTATCCATGCACTTAACATCGTACACAAATATTCTTACTCCACAGAAGTTGTTAAGCAAGCTCTTGTCCCGTGTTGTTACAATGATTCGACTCCCTAGTCCAAACCATTTAGCCTCTTTAGCCAGTGCATACAGCTGGTTCACATCATCCACATCATCAAGGACAATAAAAACTTTCAGGTGTCCAAGCCTTGACTTGATACAATGAGCACCCTGTTCCACACTCCACAATTTTACATGTTCTTCACCAAGAATATTGGAAATAAGCTTTTCTTGTAAGTACAAGAGACCATGTTTTGAGGAAATTTTCCTAACGTTTGGTATGAAACAAAAATGAGGCGAAAATCTGTGTTTATATTGTTCATAAATGTACTTAGCTATGGTGGTTTTGCCAATGCCACCCATTCCCCATATTTCTATCATACGAACCTCATCATTGGCGTCCATGTTCAAGAGAGGACTGAGACCTTCCACATGAGTTTTCATCCCGACAATATCACCAAAATCTATTGGCAACATAGATAACAATCGGCTTGAAATACGTCGAACAATATCTTCAATCATGGTGGCCTCATCCTCGCTAAAAACAGAAAATTCAATTAAGAAAACTAACTAAAGAACAAAGGATTTTTCTTTCGGTAAGCGGACTTGTCATGGAAATATAAAAAGATAAGAAAGAGCCTACCATTGTGTGGAATCCTTGCCCTTTCGGTTGGCGATACGCGTAAGTGCTTCTCTCCATCCAAGAACCGTGTCCGCCATTTCTAAACCTTGGTACCTTTCTAAAGCGAAATTTCCTCGCTGATTTCTCACGTCAGAGGGGTTAACTCCGTAGAAAATAGGAACAACTTCTATCTCCTTCTTTCCCTGAAGTTCCATAATCAATCGAAGCTCCTCCAAGCACCACCTTGAAGTAACGTAGTTCTCAGAGATAACTACAGCGGCAAATCTTGAACTTGTAGTGATTTTAATAGTCTTGTTGGGATGGATCGGCACATAAAAGCAGTGGGTGCATTACTGCTTGATTTTGATTCGAAAGACGGAGTTGGAGAAATAGGTATTTGGGGTGTGAGAGGAGTTGGTAAAACCACACTTGTTAAATGTGTTTACCAACAGATATCGCGACAGTTTCAAGATCATTGCTACGTCATGAATGATACCAGCAATTATTCTTTAGGCTGTGATTCAATGTGTTTACTTGAGGAAATAACAAGAGCTGCTCTAAAGACAACGTCACATAGTGTAACTAGGAACTGTGATGTTGTGAAGGCGAGGTTTGGACACAGAAAGGTTTTGCTTATTGTTGATGATGTGAATCACATTGGCCAACTCAACGATATCAGTTTGATTGCTAGTTGGTTTGGTCCGCGTAGTAGACTGATCTTTGTCACCCAGGACAAGAGTTTATTACTTGATTCTGGAATTAGGCATCTCTATGAAGTAGAGTCTCTAAAATATGATGAAGCTCTTCAACTCTTTTCTCAATTTGCCTTCAAACAGATACACGTTCCTAGAGGTTTCGATAGATTCTCTGCTCGTGCTGTCTTTATCACAGGTCATATTCCACTTGCCCTTAAAGTATTTGGCTCCTTCTTATACGGGAAAAACAACAAGGAATGGGAATATGAGCTGCTTAGACTCGAAGCATCACAAGAAAATTGGATTTCAGTAGTTTCTAGTTACATTGGAGGGGACTTCTATCGAAGACAGCCAACCAACTTAGATCCATACATTGGAGGAGAAGACGATGACGGAGAGGAATTTCCTTCGTATTACTTCGCTCTTGGATGATCAAAAGGTGAATCATGTGCCAACTTAAACTGATTACACCATGTCCAAAAAGTATTGCTTGTATGTACTTTTCTTTCTTGTTCAAAAATTATGCACGTTTTATACAATGGAATAGAATGAAATGCGTTCAAAGATTATTGCTGTTAGATGATATCATTTGTTTTTCCTTTTGTATCAAAATAGCTTCTTTTTATTGTTTTCCACTCTTGAGCAAATTGTTTCTACCTATATAAACTAAAAAAAGCCACAATAATGACACATTTTCCACTTTATGCCAAAACTTGAGGTTCTTCATATGGAGAAAAAGTATATTTATAATCATCTCTATCATCAAACCCATCACTACCATCTTTCCCTTGTCTCATCATCTCTCTCACTTCTTGAATCTTCCCTAACATTCCCTTCACAGCCAGCTCAAATGCATCTTCATTCCCATCTGATCCATACTTCGGATCAGCGTAGACCACCTTCGGTATCAACCTTATAACCTCTTCTCTCAATCTCACCACTCTTTCTTCTGGAATCTCAATCAACCTCTCCCTGATTATGATATTCCACTCCTTTACATCCTTTACCGGTAGATAAACCGAGTAACTCGAGTGGTTCTTGGGCAAATGCCACTTGTATTGAGCGTACGCTGTCCCTGGATGGAAGAACACCGGAATGCAGCCTGCCAATATCGAATCAAACATTGACCTTCTAGTGTAAGAATCACCCGGTGGCTGGAGACAAAACACCGAGTTCCTAAAAACCTTCATCACATTGACAGGGTTGTCACAATTCACATTCCCATAGTTACAGTCTAGCAAGTAACATTGCTTCTTTGATTCCAAACATTCATCAATTATCTTCCCTCGAACCGAGTCTTTATATTCAGGTCTTGGAGCACCCGCAAAGGTAAATAGATACTCCCGTTTTTGAGACCTCATTAGCTCTTGCCACTCCACAACTTCATCCACTGATCTAGGATGGAAACAGGTTGGATACGGAATAGCGTAATCGTTCTTCCATGAACTCGATTCAATAGACAACATCGACATGTTTCGCGACTCCGGTAAGAACCTAAGCTTGCTTCCCCAATCAGATTCATTATCGGTCTGTCTCCTGAAATCCCAAGCAATCCTTCCTGAAACCAAGAAATGGTCTCTACCGGACATACGACCCCACTCTTTCTGTACCACAAGCCAATTCATCAGCTCATGAGACGAAGAATCTCTAACCGAAATATTGTAACCCCAAAGATATCTACTCATATCAAGACCTGCGTAAAACGGCACGAAAACCGCAGAAGCTAGAGACGAATCATTGGTCAAACACCTGTAATTCATCATCTTGTTGTGGAAAATCACCTCGAGCATAAACTGATTCGTCGTAAACCAACTATGTTTCAACAACACATTCTCGTAATTCTTAATCACAGGACCAAAACCATAGTTTTCGATATAAGGACAAATATCCTTCTCGGTTCCTCTAGTAATCTTAAAACAATTATCAAGCAATTCACCATTGAATCTATAAGGAAGTTCATGAACGTAAATATACCGACCGGAGCAAGAAGAATCAGGAGATGGGTCGTCGAGAAATCGAGAAAAGTTGTCATCTTTGGTGAATTCAGAGGAAGTTGATTTCTGGGTAACGTCGGGAATTGAGAAAGCGGTTTCGTCTGTGTCGGTGAAGAGAGCAGAGTAGTCGAAACAGAGGAGAACGAAACAGAGGATAAAGAAGAGTGGAACAATGAACCAGACATTGTTATGGTTGTTGTTGTTGTTGTTGTTGGTACGGAACTTCCCCGTGGCGATGGAGATGGGTTTCTCCATCTGAGAATAATTCTTGGGTCGCATCAAAAAAAGGAGAGAGAGAGAAATCGAATTCGGAGAAAATAAGAAAGGAGAAGATTTGTTTGTTGAGAAGTTAAAGGAAGATTATTAGTGTGACCATGAATTTGGGGAGAAGAGTAAGAGAGTTAAGAGTGACACATGGATGTGTTCGAGATACTAAAAGTGAGCGTTACGTTGTCGGCAAATTAAACTATAGGGAGATTCAGTTTCACATGGGGTCAGTCAATGAACCATACTTAGGTTTATCTCTGGGTGAACTTTTAAATTCACCCAACAGATTATAGCCAATCGTTTTACCATGTCATTACTAATACTAGAGAATTAAAAAAAAAAGAAATCAGAAAATAGATTTAGGGTTTCCGGTTTAGAGTTTAGGGTTTAGATTTTACAATTAAAACGAAATTAGATGTCGGTTTGGGTTGCCAAATGAGTGGTTAAGGTTTAGATTTTATAATTAAACGAAATTAGATATCGGT